CTTGTTCGGATTGTTGATCACGCTAGGTTTCTATGGGTGTTGAACAAATGTCCTTGAATAAGCGTCTGCAGTAGAGATTGGCTCGTCTAGAAGTCGGTTATCCTCGAATACGAGTGTTCAGCTATATATATATATATATATATATATATATATATATATATATATATATATATATGCACACACACACACATATATACATATATTTATATATATCAGACATTTGAGGAATAAAAAATATGGGATCATATTAAACATAAAAGATACAAGAATATCCACGTTTAAAACATAAAATATTAATACCTTTCGAAACAGGATAGTTTCAAACACAATCGTCGGTTTTCTAAAACGAATTAATAAAAAAAAATTTTTTTGTTAGTGCCGTAATAAATTAGGATAGTATTTGAAAATGTTTTCTTGTCGGTCGAAAGGGTAAAACATTTTATGTTTTAAAATGTGGATATTTTGTATCTTATGTTTAATATGATCCCGTATTTTTTATTCCTCAAATGTCTGATTAGACTTGGCAGTACTAGAAATCTTTTTATATATATATATGCGTCGAAATCTTCGAGGAAAGTTTCAGATTAATGCCAAATCGGTCGAGTTTCTAGCCCGGTTTGAAGCAATCGGATGTCTAGTAACACTAATGGGCTATGATACAGCGAAATAATCTGTTTGGGGATATATATATATATATATATATATATATATATATATAATAAAATTATTTTAAGACATATTTATGTTTATACATTCTTTTTATAGATACAAAAAGTAAATGCTCTGTTTATAATAAACAACATTTACCGGCCTGAATGTCCGAGAAATTTTCTCAGAAAATATTCGTCCTCAGACAGGATTCGAACCTGTATCCTATACGGAACCACAATTTAGCTTGACGTGCCTTTACCGATTTGGCCACAGAGGCGCGTTCGGTTAGCAAGGTCGAATTTACTGTATTTAAACTGCAATCTGCTCATGGCGTATAAAATGTAAACAAATGACGTCACACATTATGAAATGGACAAAGTCCGACAATTATTTTAAGACATTTATGTTTATACATTCTGTGAAAATAAACATAAATATGTCTTAATATATATATATATATATATATATATATATATATATATATATATATATAGATAGATAGATAGATAGATAGATAAATAAATAAATAGATAACTAATAGATTGAGATAGATGCATAATAGAATGAGAAAATAGACGGATAGTTAAATAGACTGAAAAAGATATATATATATATATATATATATATATATAATATATATATATATATATGAGATAACTGAGATAGATAAAATTATATATATATATATATATAAATAGATTAGATAGCTATATAGATATATATATATATATATATATATATATATATATATATATATATATATATATATATATATATATATATGAAGAAGCTGTCATAGATAGATCGATGGATAGGTAGATAGTTAATGTAAAAATAAACGGAAGAAAATATCAATAAAATGTGACTGAAATTTAAATTAGAAAAAAATTCCAATTATCTTTTTTATGTATATTAGTAATTGACAGAAGGCAACTGTCAACGAAATATGAATGAGAAAAAAGATATCTTTTACTTATTCCATTGCTATTAGTTTAATTTTTATTATTAATAATAATAATTTAACGAAAAAAATAAATTAATTTTGTGTAAGCATTTTTATAAAGCGGGAAACCTCATTTGGTTCATTGTTGGCATTCTAATGAAATTTGATCTGACTTAATTGCCGGCAGCAAGAAGGACATCGACTGGATAAATTTTGTCTGGAAATTTACTTATTTGATTGTATGAGAGTCTAAGCAGACAAGACCATATGGTCCAAGATTCTCAGCTAAATCAGTTCCATTGATTTCGTTAACCGACAATTACATCATAAATCGCTACACACAAACATACACAAGCACATACAAATATATAGGACACATGACACAGTGGATAAAGGCGTTAGTTAGATTCAGTGGCAGGACCCAAAAAGTGTGAGTTCAATACCCGTTTAAGGCAGTGGAGAAATTGAAGAGGGGAATTAACAGGAGATAACTGATAATTGACATCCATTAAACATGGCACGTGGAACTAGAACAGTCTAGCCCAGTGAGCGAAATAAAGACATTCCAACCACCCAAGATACAATCGAAATATACATATTACCCTATGTTGTGTTTATACGGATCCTCTCTCACCAACACGACGATAAATAGCAGAATATGTTGGATGACCCGGCTGCCTTCGGTTTCCGAAAAGCAATCTGATACAGCTGTACAACCTCGCGTCCATTACCATTCACGCAGCCGTATGAAAAAATCATATCTTCCTGTTCAAATATCCTGCCATTGTTAAACGGGACACTTCTTAGTTAACTCACCATTAGAGACGTTAAACGTTGAAGACAAATTAGGCACAAATGTACACCAATGACAAGGCCGGAGCGTACAACGGCTGAAACCTTGTAATAAATATGGCGACAAAGATGAGGACAATAGTCAAAATAATATAAATTATATATATATATATATATATATATATATATATAGAGACCCGGATATAAGAGAAACCCGGATATAAGAGAGATTTTCTCTGGTCCCAAATTAGAGCCTGTGTTATTGTATATAAAATAGACCAAACCCGGATATAAGAGAAACCCAGATATAAGAGACATCTCCGGTCTCGGCAACTCTCTTATATCCGGGTTACACGGTAGTAGCTGTCGACTCACAAAGCGAGTATCCATCCCATGCCTAGCCTGTCTGTTATACTCACAATCACAACATTGCATTCATCGGTTGTGAACAACAGTGGCTTATAAAGCCAGACATCGATCTGCATTTCTTGTCACATATGTGGCATATCAAATCATGTCCAGGTGGTGATAGTTGACGTCGATCATCATCACTAACAGTGTGCCTTTTCATATGTCTTGTCAGGCCTGAACTGGATTTGCACGCCCTAGTGCTGGTCGGGCATTCATTGCATATATATATTCAGGGTGTATCAAAAATATTTTACAATTTTTGGGGACGGGTTTCTCACCCCAAACAAGGTCAAAGGTTCCTATAAACATACATCCACAAATCCTTCTGTTTTGAGTTAAGATTAAAGATTACGGTAGACGCAGTTAAATGTAAAATCCAAGATACAATCTAAATATACATATTACCATAGTTTGTGGTGATATGGGTCCTCTCTCAGCAACACCACGATAAATAGCAGCATATGTTGGATGATCCGGTTACCTTCGGTTTCTGAAAAGCAATCTGATACAGCTGTACAACCTCGCGTCCATTACCATTCACGCAGCCGTATGAAAAAATCATATCTTCCTGTTCGCGATATAAATATCCTGCCATTGTTAAACGGGACACTTCTTAGTTAACTCACCATTACCGACGTTAAACGTTGAAGACAAATTAGGCACAAATGTACACGAATGACAAATGTAACTTAGTCAATATGTCAACACAGCGGCATCTGGCGTAAAATTTCTTTAAACGTAATAACTCAAGAATGAAGGATTTGCAGACATACGATTATGTGGACTTTTGCCCTTGTTTTGGTTTGAGGAACCCGTTCCCAAAAGTTTGTAAATGTATTTTTGTGTGTGAAACTGACTCAAGTAATCGCTTTCCCAGCCGAGAAATACGAAGTATTACATTCACGAACTTCTTGTCACTTTCTCTCTCTCTCACGTGGTGTTTTTTATGCCGAGCTGATCAGAAAAGATTCAAGTCGACAGAGATGTTCTACAGAAGGATGCTAAGGATATCATGGACCGAGCGCGTGGGCAAAGATGAAGTCTTACAGAGGATGTAAACAAGGAGGAGGTTTATACTTAACATCAGGAAAAGGCAGCTGAAGTTCCTGGGACACATAATGAGGAAAGAGGGCCTGGAAAATCTGATACTCAGGGTCGAATAGAGGGAAAGAGAGACAAAGGAAAACAACGCATGGCATACATAGCGGGCTTCAGCAAGAGGAAAACAGAACGTGGTCTGTGGGAGGTAACAGAAAGAAACGGAACTTGTCGAGGGCTGCAAGGGATAGAGGGAGGTGGAGAGCCATGATCGCGTACGTCCTGAAAAGATATGAAACATAAAAAGAAAAAAAGAAGCTCAACTAAATTAGTGGTCAATGAAAAAACCTAACGGAAAAACTGTTTAATCTAAATTGGAAAAAAGGGAAACAAGTCAGTAGGGAACGCCAAGGAAAATAAAAACGAATATTCTATGTATCCATTTAGAATATCGGTGATCATGGCTCTCCAGAATTTCATGTCCTTTATATCTCTTAGTAAATTTTGTATTTTTGCTATCTGTCCTAATCTCTGTTCTGTAAACAGTTTACACAAGTAAATTAAGTAGGTTATTCGGCGTTTCCGTCTGTCCATCTTGATGAAGTCTTAGAGAGGATGCAAACAAGGAGAAGGCTTATACTTAACATCAGGAAGAGGCAGCTGAAGTTTCTGGGACACATAATGAGGAAAGAAGGCCTGGAGAATCTGATACTCACGGGTCGAATAGAGGGAAAGAGAGACAAAGGAAAACAACGCATAACATACATAGCGGGCTTGAGCAAGAGGTTAACAAAACGTGGTCTGTGGAAGGTAACAGAGAGAAGGAACTTTTTGAGGCTGCAAGGGATGCAGGGAGGTGGAGAGACATGATCGTCTACATCCTGAAAGGACATGGCACATAAAAAAAAGATCTAGCGAAAAATTTGCATACGCCCATCCACCCTCGTCACTTCTCCTGGTTCCAAGACCGTGTCTTTCTTAAATGAAGGTGTTAAGGCGGCCATATTTCTTTTTCCTTTCCTTCACTCGTGTTGCACGCCAGGTATATACGCGCTCTCTTTGTCATACAAGGTAAGTCCTCTTCTCTTCTACACCCTGTACATAAGTGCACCCTTTGTGTCCGACTCCAGTGTAAAATATATGTGCCGATGGGAGACAGATTTACCTCCGTTGGTGTCCAGGCGCGTGCTTAAATCACTGAGAGAGAGAAAGAGAGAGAGAGGGGAAGAGGGCGAGAGAGCGAGATAGAGAGAGAGAGAAGGGAGAGGTATAGAGAGAAGTAGAAAGAGAGAGAGGGAGAAAGAGAGGGGGAGAAAGGGTGAAAGAGAGGGAGATAAAGATATATAGAGGGAGATAGATAGATAGATAGAGAGAGAGAGAGAGAGGAGAGAGGCGGGAATAACTCAGTCAGTTATGTGCCATGCATGGTACACGCTTAAGCAATGTTGTATCTTTCGATACATGACTGACGAGGCAGATTTTTTTACCGCAGTACATTGCCATCGAAAGCTATAGGACCCGGTCTGTCCTGCTATTTACCCATAGCTGGTGGGAGAAAAAGAGAATTCATACCTTTCCCAAGGGTATTAGCACGTAAGTGAATGTAATAGATTCAACAGGAATTCGAACTCGGCTCTCCGATTCCTCAATCCGAGCCACTATCCATTACTCCACCGTGCCTCCACAGTGCGAATAACTAGGCATCGTAAAACCTGGTAAAACATCTGGAATCTCTATTAGCATTATTGAGAGAATTATGTCCTTGTGTATTTGTGAGCTGTTCTAATTTAAACCAGCCGAACATCAGCTGGTATTCCAAAAATGTCGCCCGTCTGGGTACTGACCAGGCCTGACGTTGCTTGACTTTAGGCAGACATTGGATTCAGCAACAATACCACATTGTTTAGAGAGACACAATGAAGAATCAAATGTGGGACGTACTCAGTCTGAATTTAAATTGCTAGATTAAATGTCTGTGATAGAGAGATGCAGTTAGATAGAAATGTAATTATATTGAAAGAAGATTAAATAGATAGATAGATAGATAGATAGATAGATAGATAGATAGATAGATAGATAGATAGGGACTTAATTGGATAGAAACTCAGAAACATAATAAAATAGTTGGAAAGATAGGGTGAAACTTAGATAGAAACTTAATTATATAGAAAGATATAGAAAGATAGAAACTTAATTAGGTAGATAGAAACTTGATTAGATGAATAAATAAACGGATAGAGAGATAGATAGATAGATAGATAGATAGATAGATAGATAGGAGAAGGCATAGATATGAATAAGACAGATAAAATATTAATTAGATAGATAAATAGATAGGAACTTAATTGTATAGATAGATAGATAGATAGATAGATAGATAGATAGATACATAGAAACTTAATTAGATGAATAAATAAACGGATAGATAGATAGATAGATAGATAGATAGATAGATAGATAGATAGATAGATATGGAAGGATTGCGCTGGATAGATAGATAGATATTTAGATAGATAGATAGATAGATAGATAGATAGATAGAAACTTAATTAGATGAATAAATAAACGGATAGATAGATAGATAGATAGATATGAAGATGGATAGATAGATAGATAGATAGATAGATAGATAGATAGATAGATAGATAGATAGAAACTTAATTAGATGAATAAATAAACGGATAGATAGATAGATAGATAGATAGATAGATAGATAGAGCAGGCATAGATATGAATAAGACAGATAAAATTTTAATTAGATAAATAGATGATCTATCTATCTATCTATCTATCTATCTATCTATCTATCTATCTGTGTTTTTAAGTATCTATCTAGCTGAATATTTTCTTATCTATCTATTCTTATCTATCTATTTATTCGTATCTATCTATTCTTACACATAGAAATCGATGTGGAACGAGAGAAAATGTGAGTCGGGGGGTGTGAGAGAGAAAGAAAGAGGAAGAGAATAAATGAATCCAGTCCGTCTCAATAAATGTACGAATTATCAATCAGCGTTTTAAAAACAAATCAATCGGGTGATTTACGGAAAAAAATTTAGAAAAATATGCATTAACAGTTTTTTTTTTTCGTTATTTTTGTTTCTTTTTTTTTTTTAAATCGTTGCAACAAAGAAGAAAGAATTGAAAGAATGGACACTTTGACCCTCCTCCAATAAGGGGAGCTGATCAGTGAACGTATGGTGGCGTCATGTCAGAACGACAACAGAAGTGAGTCTCTCGCTATCATGCAAATAATCTTTGGCGTCTCTCTCTCTCTCTCTCTCTTTCTTTCTCTCTCTCTCTCTCTCTTTCTCTCTCTCTCTCGCTCATTTTCGGTTATCTTTTTTCTCCTCATTCACCCCGTCACTGTCTTCTGCCATTTTCTCTTCAAGGCAGCAGATCACGAAATATGTCGAGGCTGCGTGATGTTCGTAAACACAAGACAAGCTTCGTCGACTTCGTGCCGTGTGCACAGCGGTTTGCCTAGTTAGATCATTAGAAACCTAGCTGGAAGGTTTACATTTGTCATCTTAGTGGCTAGACCAGCTTTAGTATATTTTTTATAGTAACTTTCACCCTGTACAAAATTCAGCAACCACAAGGTAGACGGTTACGTTAAGTGGCAGTTTATATGGATAGGAGGGGAAGATAACGATTAACCGTAGAATTGGAAAGGTTAAGATCGGGGAAACATCCTCATGGGGGTCTGTTCCATGTGGTTCAGGGAACATCCTCTTGGGGGTCTGTTCCATGGTGGTTCAGGGCCAAAGAAACCAGAAAGTAAAATTTATTTTTCCATTTTAGAAGTGGTATTGCAGTGAGATCTTCCCGCCGATGGAAACTACAGAAGACGTTTTGATAAAGACTGGAGTGTTTGTTAATATGGCAACAGTATGTATTTTCGACCTGATCTTGCGCTTATAAATATAGCAGCATGAGGAGTCAGTCCGGAGCCATGAAGGATCATTTTATCAGCAGCGATGGATTGTATATAGATTGTAAAAGCCTATTCTGGAATAGGCTTGCTGTATCCCGCTTCTGTTGTGTATTTTTGTGTGTGTGGTGTGTGCGTGTGTGTGTAGAGACTCGTGTGTATCCCGAGAGAGAGCTGAGAGACGAGATAGATAGATTGATAGAGAGAGAGAGAGAGAGAGGTTGGAGGAAACTAATTCTTCTCCTGCAAGGACTCGGAGACGCTTTTGAGCTCTATCAAGACTGGGGAGTGACGTCTTGGCAGCTCCTGTCCAAATATGGCAACAGTACTGAATTTTCGGCCTGATCTTGCTCTTATAAAGATAGAAGATAGCATAAGGAGTCAGGTACTTACTGGAGCGGTAAAAAAATCCGATACTTTTATCTGCATCTTCAGCGATGGATTGTATATAGATTGTAAATAGCCTATTCCGTGGAATAGGCTTGCCATATCCCGCTTCTCTGTGTGTGTGTATGTTTGTGTTTGTGTGTGTGTATGTGTGTGCATGTGTGTGTATATGTGTGTGTGTGTGTGTGTGTGTGTCTGTGTGTGTGTGTGTGTGTGTGTGAGAGAGAGAGAGAGATAGAGAGGTTGAAGCGTGGAAAATAATTCTTCTCCCCCAAGGACTCGAAGACGCTTTTGTGCTCTATCAAGACTGGGGAGTGACGTCTTGGCAGCTCCTGTCCAAATATGGCAACCCTACTGAATTTTCAACCTGATCTCACCAATGAAATACGGAAAGAATTTTGGTGGTTTGCTACAATGCGAGTGGTATGGCGGGTTATGGCCGTGGAGGTTAGTCCTGGGGTAACCAAGGAATATAGTTCGTCTGAGCACTTTCCATGGAGCGTAGCGATAGAGAAGCGAGAGACGCTAAAACACGCCCGTCAGAGAGAGGTTGGAGGATGGAAAAGAACTCTTTTCCAACAAGAACTCGGAGATGCTTTTGAACTCCCACAAACCTGAGGAGTGGGGTCAAAGCAGCCCCTGTCTAAATATGGCAACAGTACTGAATTTTCGACCTGATCTTGCTAGATAGAAGATAGCATAAGAAGTCAGGTAATTACTAGAGCGGTAGCGGGAGTCGATCATTTTATCTGCATCTTTAGCTATGGATTGTATGTAGATTGTAAATTGCCTATTCCGTGGAAGAGGCTTGCCATATCCCACTTCTGTGTGTGTGTGTGTGTGTATGTGTGTGTGTGCGTGCGCGTGTGTGTGAGAGAGAGAGAGAGAGAGAAGAGAGAGAGGGGGGTTGAAGGGTAGAAAATGATCCGTCACTCTCATGGCCTTAGAGACGTTTTTGGATTTTAACAATGCTGAAGATTGCGAAACATAAAACTGTGCGTGAAAATAAAAGCCATTGTCTCAATTTAATAACTCAATTGTCTTTGTAGAAAGAAAGAATCTTTTGAGTTGGCTGTTGCAGTGCGGAACTAGCTCCCAAGTGGAGCGAGAGCAAATAGGAGTGATAGAGGAAAGGATTAAGAGGAGGACAGGGGATAGATCAAGGCAACTGGAGACGTCGACTGATATTACATTTGAATAGTTGGAGATTATAGCTATCAGGGAAACAGGAAGAAGGGAGGGAGTTCCACAGGCGAGAGGTGCGAGACATGAAGCTATTGGAGTAGAAGAGACGGTTACAATTAACAGTTTCGACAGTGAAAGGGTGAGAGCGAGATGCCAGCCTAGTATAACGCTTAAATTCATGAAGTCTGGGAACCAGCGAAAGCAGCTCCTCGATGGCGAGAAAGAGTCTGAAGCGGAGACGCAAGATCAGAATCCATAATATTGTTGGTTCTTCTTAGGATTTTATCAAGGAGCTCGAGATAAAGATATAAATTGCAGGAGAACCGGCCCATATGTGACAGCAATATTCTTAGCATTGCCGAAGTGTGGACTTATATTTATGTAGGATAGATTCTGGAGATAAAACAAAAATTGTCTCGCACCACACAGAGAACCAACTTTCTCAGCAGGTGACCTAGCAATGGATTCAATATAGACTTTCCACTTCATGAACGTTAGCCCGAGAAAAGCGCAACGAGTCACTTTCCTGGAGGTTAGCATCAGCCATGCTTATTAGCGTTGGATGAACTTGATAGACGAGTGAAAAAAAAAAATTAAAAAAGAGCAATTAGTGTCACTGAAAAAAGATTGGAATCACTTATCAAACTTATACCATGAGAAACTTTTGCAACGTATACAAAAAAAAAAAAAATAAAAATAGGCTGCAGTAATCAAGGTTAAAGGGGGATATTTTGACGAGAGCCAAATTTAATCATAAAATGCTTTTTTTTTCTTTTTGTTATAATAAAATGTCTAATAAAACATCATGTCTCACTTTTTAAACATGTAGAATTGATTTCTCTTATTCAAAATAAGGAACAACAAGGTTTGGGCCAATTTAAAAAAAAAATTACCAGCCATTGCCTCAAACATTTGAGCTGTAGTGTATATATATATATATATATATATATATATATATATATATATATATATATATATATATCTGTATGTATATATATATATATATGAGATAATCCTAAGGAGACAGGCAAACTTACCTAGGCTTCACCTAAATGGATCGTCAGGGTAATGCCAGGGCATTATCCGTTTAGGTGAAACCTAGGTAAGTTTACCTGGTTCCTTAGGATTATCTTGGATTTTAATCTACTTAGTGTGTTGAGCACTTTACGTAGTTGTCTTTTTACTCGTTTTTTTTCTTCTTTGGACTTGGAGCTTAAACACTGGACGATTGTTT